AAATCTTTCACGGGCCGGGTTCGGGGCGGGGCATCCCCACCCCGCCCCGTGCCCCGCCCCGCGACGGGGCACCCCATATCGCCCCGCCCCGCCCCGCCAACCCCGTCGGGGCGGTTTTTTTCGCCCCATTCGGGGCGGGGCACCGTCGGGGCGGGGCGGGGCGGTTTTTTTTGCCATCCCTAGCTCAAAATGCAGACCAATTGGTATTGCAAAATATGAAGACTTGGATAATCACAAAATTTTGGGCTCCCTTGCAATCTGGCACAGATTATGCAACACGAGACAATTGATTGTGGCGCATGGCCTCGTCCATGGTATTCCTCTGTTTCATCAACGACTCATCAAATGCATTTTGTGTTGGATCATCGTTTCTTTGAGACAAAGCTCCACATGCGACAAAACCTCCCACTCTAATGGGAATAATGGCAGCTTCAGTTCCACCAGCAATCATCAAATCAGCATCTTGTTGATCCCCTGATAAACATTAAATGAAGCTGAAATCAGTATCAGAAAAGGTATTTCAGTAGCAAATAAAGAATGAAGGATCAAGTTGACGAAAGAAGTCAACAAATTTGTTCTAATTTCTAAAGAGAAGTACCTTTTGCAAAATAAGTCATCTAGAAGTTGATCCATCTAAAATTACCTTTTAGCGAAGCAAGAAAAATATCACGTGCTTCTAATAGCAACAGATTCATAACAAAACTCAAAAACTAGGCAAGCTAAAGGAGGACATACCTAGGGTCGAAGTCAATGGCTAACTGGATCAGAGGACCAACGGATGCCCCTTCAAAGAGTGCAGTTGCCATAAAAAGTGAAACCCTTTTTCCTGTTCATAATTGAGACAACTACAATAAATTAAAATCCAAACGATACTGTATACTCGAAAAATAAATTAAGAAACAAGAAATACCTCTTGGTAAGGAGGAGTAGAGAGTAGCCACGTGATGCTACACATACAACCAATGGTTGTGAAGAATCCACCAACGTTCCAAACAAAGTGAAGATAAGATCCAACCGCTGATGAAAGTAATGCACAGCATAACAACAGATAAACCCAAATTTCCAGTAATCACATGCACTAACCATAATTTTCAAATTGACAAAGATAAGATATCACAAAAGAAACATAGATACTGCGAAGAATGAGAAATAAGATCAAATATCTACAAATAAACCAAATTAAAGATTTAAGAAATCAATTCAATTAATAAACAGGGACACCATTATATTCCAATAACTTAAGCGGAAAGAGGGTGAAAATCAGAAGGGCAAAAATATTTCAATTCTAGACATCAAACTATCGATTATTTCCCAAAAATCCAAAAGAATAGGTTCGAGAAACTGATAAAAGAAACTTGCTTGAGATGGGTCTGAACAGTAGGGGAAATCTGAAGGAAATTATTGAGAGAGTCGTAACTCCATCTGTTCCGAGAGGCAGATTGCGATTCAAAGAACGAAGTAAACGATTCCACTATTTCTTTGTTAGTAATCTCACGCAAATTGAAATTTCAGGATGGAATTCTGAAAGAGGCGTTGAAGATTCAATCTATAAATACAGTTGAGATTCAGCGCTTCGGCTATTTCCCGGAATCAAAAATCGAAAATACCAAAAATCCCCAAACTTGCAAATCGAAAAGAGAGAGAATTTCACATTCGCCCTGCCGCAAACGACGCCCATGGGTCGCCGATGTCAAAGAGAGAGTAGGGAGAGACGGGCCAAACCACATCAAGAGTAGGATGGATTGGAAGAAGAATGAAGAAATTGGAAATTCTGGTAGTGGAGGTGTTACCGTATTGAAAATGGTCATTTCGCGTGTTTTGCATTTTTTCCCTGTTTTTGCTTGAAAACGGTCAAAACGATGTTTTTATCGTTTTATGTACAAATTTTTTATTATTTTCAAAAACGCGTTTTCAAAAATAGGAAAGAGAACGCGTTTTCATTGTTTTGGAAAATCGAAAATGACACAAAATGGCCAAAAGGAACTGCCTCTTAGGTGTCGTTCTCTTTGACGTTTTCGGATCGTTTTCTGTTTTCGAAAACAGTGAAAACATGTTTTCTTTCTTGAGAAGAAAAGGGAAGGTTCTCTAGATCTAGAAGATTTGCTTGGAGCTGTTCACTTTCACTTGGTCGCCTGGTATCTTGAAACCTCTTTGCTTGCGGGGGCAGGAGTGGAAACGTCTGAGAGAGCGCTTCGCGAAAGAATCGTGTGGCGCGGTGAAAGGTTTCCCGTTGGGGTTTCCGACCCTCCTGGTCTCCACCTACTTGTGGAAGAGGTGGGATTCCTTGATATTAAGGTGTCAAGGCAGTCGAAGAAGGCCACAAGTGGAAGCAACCGATGCTTTGATCATGACTCCTTGCTGCCAGTCCGTGCTTGCTGTCATGCTGGCAAAAGCAGGGGTTTCGGTCAGTTTTACCTACTATTGGATTTGAACCAATGACTCTCGCCGTATGAAAGCGATACTCTAACCGCTGAGTCAAGTAGGTCAAGCTGAGTCAAGTCAGAGAAAATAGACCCCTATAAGAGAAAGCGTTATCACTATACGAAATGAAGCAGCGGCTAGCACGCTAAGCTAAGATCAACCACTTGGAGAACGCGGAGCCTTTCTTTCTCGGTCGTCTGTCTTAATAAGTGGATTCCGATTCATGCGGTCGTTCTCTGCTGCATTGGTCTTTTCACTCCCCACTCGCCACCATAACAAAATGTTTCCACTATATCTCAGGAGTAGTCAAAGGAAGTACGGCGGGTCCAAGTAGGAAANAACCACCACTGCACCACCACCACCACCAAAAGCATCACCAGAAACCCCCACCACCATAGCCAAAATCGGCATCCTAGAAATACAATCGAAAATCGACATCCCAAAAAATACAACCCCCGCCACACGGACCAACATTTTTCCTGATCTGTCTGCTTCAATTCCTCATCCCCACAACGTTGAATCATAAAATTGGCCCCAATCGAGTCTTCAGCAGGCACACAGAACCATGTGTTACATGTCAATTGCAACAATTAATTCAGAAACAGCTCCAGTTTTCGAATCCTCCACGATTTTTCTAGATTACAAAAGAAGTTTTCTGTTGTTGTTTGCTGTGAATTGGTGGCATGGTTGTGGTCGTCTTGTGTTGGGGAGTTGTCTGGAGGTGTGTTCCGACCATGAGGTGTGTTCAGGCAATTTTCAGTTGAGAAGGCAGCGAACTTTGAACACGAATTTCGGCCTCTGTAGTTATTGGAATTGGGTTCAGTTTGGTGGTATGTGAAGCTTGAAGTGAGGGCTGTCAACTGGTGGTAATGTCTGGCGGCTTTGGTAGCCGGAGCTCACCAGAGTTTGGCTTCATTTTATGGTCGGTGGTGGTCGGTTCGTGAGAATGGAAAATAATGAAAACAATGTAAACACCCATTGGAAAATGTTTTGAGAAATTCTTTTACAAAACGACAAAAAGAATACGTTTTCAATAATCTCACACAATGGAGACTCAAAATACAAAACTCAAAACACAAACCACAAACTACTGTCGATTATTTTTCATAACTTTCAAGCGGTGACTTTCGGCTCCCAAAAAAGGTATGGGAGAGTTGAACCGATCACTCTGAAACCGCTGAAGAGGAAAAAACTTATTTAAATCTCAAAAAATGTGGAAATTAATTAATCCATCAGCTTCAAGTGAATATGAAGAGCAGTCGGAAGACGATTTATTGGATGGAACTGAAGGCCTCTGCTCTCTTTCCCCTTTACAGGTACAATAATTACATCCTCAATTAATCAAAGATTTGGTATGAAAATTCAGTTTTTGATCAAAACCCTTTTCTTTTTGGGGTTTTTTTGCATGAGCAGAGATTGTATGGATTTGCTGCTTGTTTAGCAGCTGGGCTTATTTGTGCGTTCCTGGTATGTAAATCCCACATTTCAATTTTTTTCAGTTTCTTGAAAATTGATTATGTTATATTATTTACTGAGCATTCCGTGGAAAGCTTGAAACCGATTCCTACAGTGATGAATACAAGCACAATTGAAAGTTTTTTTTCTTTTGGGGGGGGCCAAAAGTATTACCGTTTAGAGCAGCGTTGGCTAAGCTTAAAAGTTTACTTATATGTAAATATATGTTCTACAATAAAAATTTATCTTATTGATCAAACTCATAAATAAGTTCAGTGCATTTTCAAAATAATGAATTCGTTCTGCTAAAAAAAAAAGAAGAAGAAGTTATCCAAACATGTTTAGTAACAAACTTTATGCTTGGCCAGACACGTGCTTAGCCTTGCAACTTTGTAGCCTCGATATGCAGAAACAGAAATCCCTTGTTACTTTCTTATGTTATCAAACTTCAATCTATACAATCTCGGGAAAATATGAGGCTTTGTTATGGAATGGAAACATGAAAAGATGCATTTGGCTATATCTAAAAGGCAACATGGATGCATTCTGCGTAGTTATTAACCAACATTTTACCTTCTTGGCTCTTTTTTCAGTCATTGATTGTTTTTGTCAAGCCCGTCAAATTTGCTCTCCTATTTACCTTTGGCAATATGCTGGCTATCGGAAGGTATGCTATGGTACAAACCGGCTAAGATGTGTCAGTTTATCTTGCAATCTTGAATTGAGATTGATCGATGAAAATCATATTATGTTATGGTTTTTTTGATAAGGTGTATTGTAAAGTTTTTGATAGTATCAAAGAAGGAAAAATAAGCTCAAACCTCATTTACTATATTGTCCAAGTCCTATCCAAACTCCAAGTACTACATACCAAATGTGCATCAAGTTTTTTTTGCTGCTAAAGGGTTAAATCTTGAAGGGTTAATGTTTTTATTGCTTCCATATACTCGAATCCGTGGCGACGTGTGTAAAAACTCTACATAGGGGGCACGTTTGGTACACCATATTGGATTAGGGAGGATTGTATTAAGCGTTTTGCTATGTACACCAGGGTTGTGTACATCACCCTCACAATAGAGGGGCCTATGATTTTTATTGGGTGTGGGCCCCCCATTATGAGGGGGTGTCAATCCCGATGTACAAATAGCAAAGCCCTTGTGTTAAAATTGATGAGGGCGGATTGTTGTAATATGGCATTTGGTGCTACACGATACATGTATAAAATATTAAAAAACTTACGACAATATTTTTTGTAAGAAATTTTTTTACTTGTAATTCCTATGAAATTTTTTTAATCATAAGTGAAATGTTTACTTATTACTTATTAGTAAATTGTTTACATATATGAGCTTTTACTTTTTATTTTTTTTTTGCTTGTATGAAAATTTTATAGTTATAAGTAAATTTTGTACTTAGATTTAATTTTTAATATATAAGTGAATTTTTGTCTTATAAGTAAATTTCTTAATATAAATTAATTTTTTACTTTTAATTGAATTTTTTAGTTATAAGTAGTATGTTTTCCTTATTAGGCAATTTTTTTACATGTACAAGAGAGTTTGTCATATGAGTAACTTTTTCTACTTATATAAGCAATCATATAACTTATTAAGTTTACTCATATACAAATTTTGTACTTATAAATGAAATTTTTACTTTTTCCACTAATATACAATCTTTATAATTATAATTAATTTTTCTTATACATAAGTTTTTCATTTAAAATTCTTTTTTCACTTAAAAGTGATTTTTACTTATAATTGAATTTTTTTACTTATAATTGATTTTTTGTTATAAGTGAAATTCTTAGCTCATATATATTTGTAAGTAAATTTATGTAATTCAATTTGATTAATGATCTAAACTTACCCTCGGTAGGGTATTAATTTAACACAGTTGAATAAAGGTGGATAAACAATCTGGATTAATTTAATTTGGTGCTAATCGCACCAAACACTGGATAAGGATTAGATAGGATTATTTCAATTCTTATCTAGTCTAATACATTGCGCCAAACATGCACAAATTATGTACAGCTCAAATGTGTAAGATCAAAAGTAAATTGTTTCCAACTTGCTTCTTGGTTGACTAGTATGTATTAGCTAATTTGCATTCAATTGAGCTGGAGTTTTGTTCTTCCTATTCATTTTTTGAGGTTCTATTTTTTGGATCCATTGGCAGCACAGCCTTCCTGATTGGACCACAGCAACAGCTAAGAATGATGCTTGATCCTGTCCGTGTCTATGCTACAGCAATTTATGTGGGGTGTGTTGTGTTAGCTCTCATTTGTGCTCTTTTGGTAAGTTGTGGCATTAATTGAATTTTGAGAAAAAGCGTGTGCTTGATTGTGCACAAATTGGCAATTTTGAAGTCTTCTAGTGGGAACTTTTAAAATGAAACGAGCATGAAAGGGGAAAGGTTGTGGAGTCAAAATTATCTTATTATATTTGAAGTTCACTAAGCCGAGGACACTAATGATTTTTGTTTTCGGGTGAATAGGCCATCCATTTGTCACTTTTCAGATTAGTTTCTAATTAACGAGTCAATAACGTTTTAAGATGTATTTCAAAGTAAATTGTGAAATCAGTAATGAACATCAATTCATGCCTTTCTCTTCTTATTGTCCTTTCGAGCTTCAGTATTGTTCTTAGAGCTTCCTTCCTACTATACCCACTTTTTTATCACTTCATACGAATTATCTTAGGGCATTATGCACCCTCACTCGGAATCGTGCATGAGCACACCATGGATCTTTTGATTTGTTCCTGTATTATTTGTTGTTGTTGTTGTTGTTATTGTTGTTGTTATCATTATTATTATTTGTTTAATTAAAAGTTTAATTGATTTGGTTTCAGGTCCATAGTAAGATTCTAACAATAATTGCAATCATATGTGAGATATGTGCCCTTATTTGGTGAGTTCGTTTTTATATCACTTCTTGCATTTTCCTTCAAGTATGTTTCCTTCCAGAATTTGAGATCTAGTGTTGTTTCAAATGGAATCTTTAGATATCCTTTTGACTAAATGAACAGTAGAAGTCGAACACAGACACTTATGCTATTTCTGTTGCTTTGGATGATCGAAATTCAAATAATATGAGAATAACTATATCGAATTCTCGCTCAAAAATTTATATCAATTATTTTTAACAAAAGTACAAATGAAGGGGGAAGCTAACATCATAGCCTTCATGCATTACTACCCAATTGACCACAGTGTCTAACATCCTAGGGCCACTCGTTCTTCGAGAAGGGTAATTGCGTAATTTTTATCTAGCAGTTTAGACTACTCCTCCTGCTTCCTTGTCTTCATGTTATTCCTCCAATAATGACTGCATTTACAGTTTGATTCTCTTTCTTTCTCGCACATACTCTCAGAAGGAATAATTTTACTGATCGAACTCCTCCATCTCCCTAGTTGCAATTTTTTCACTTCAGGTTTTGTGTGTGTGTGTGTTTTTTTTTGTTTACCCTTTTGTCTATTGGATTGTATACAGACATTTTCCATGTCATTATTTCAATTTTATTCTAATGATATTCAAAAAGTAAAATGTGGTCTGTTTT